AAAGCTGCCTCTCCTCTCCCTTCTCCTCCCCCCCCACCCCCCCGCTGCCTTCCCTGCGTGGCTCCGGCACGGGGGTCCCTGGGAGCGGGTCTGGGAAAGGCAGGTCCTGCCACAGGCACATCTTCCCCCCCACCCCGGGCAGGGCAAGGGCTGGGATGGAGCAGAGGAAGGGGAACAAACTTCAGATGGGGAAATGCTGCTGCTGGAAGAGCCGGCGGCCGGGCTGGGAAGCCAGCCAGGCAGAGATGTACAACATATTACCTCTCTCAGGCCTGACAAGCTTGTAATGAGCCATACGACTGAGAAATGGAAACTAAACGAATATGGACAGGCAGCGACTGGGAAGAAATAGCCCACATCCCGTTTTAAAGGACTGGTGGGGGGCAGAGCCCTTGGTGTGTGGCTGCAGAAGCAAGGAGCCCCATAAGAAATGCCTGCACAGCCCCTCTGGACCCCCCCAAATGGATGTGGCTGGGTCTTTGCATGCTTACACACACGTGTTTACGCACACACGTACACCCGCACACACAGACACGCTTCCCAGCACATACATCCAAATGTTCCTGGGGAAAAACTCCTCTGCGAGAATCCCCTGTCCATTCACGCACGACGATTTGCACCCACGCTCGTGAATCCACCCCAAGTCGGGCGCCTCTGCGCACCCAGGCGGGCGCTCGCCCTTGCGCTGTGCCATCCGGCTTCCACTAAAAAAAATGAACCTGGGCTGCTATTTCTAGAACGCGAAACCTCTTAGCTGCGCGCCAGCGTGCAAGTAAACCATCCAAATCCCAAAGAAAAAGTTGCGCTTGTGAAGCCTGGAGGTGATGGCAGGGCTGATGGATCCACGGAGGTGCCCTCCCGAGGCTCTGAGCTTGCAATAAACCGCGTGTCCTCAAAGCACGGCTGAGTTTGGGTTTGTCTTTAACTTGCTCTCCCTGCCATCAGCTTCAGAGACAAACCAGCCCGGGACCACCGACGCAGGAGCGTGTATCGCCAGTTCCCAAATTAGCCACATCTGCCGTAGCCGTCCACGATAGCCCTGACTCCTGCACTTTATTTCACCTTCTCCCTTCCCCTCCCTCTTTAATTCCTTTTCTCCTTCTCCTCTTGTCCCCTTCCTGCAGACCTGGGACCTCCTTTCTGGCGCTGGGCGGCGGAGGGAGCAGTCCTGCCCTCGGGAGCAGCCTG